CAGACCCATCGTCAAGGACAGACCTATTAATGTCTAAGTGGGGGACAGACCAAAATATCTCTCTCACACAAAAAACATATATATATAGGTTATCCCCTCATGGACACATCCACAATGAGACAATGAGATAAATTAAGTACTTCCAAATGTTCCAAGGTGTCCAATAGATGCTCTATAGCCTCCTTGTGGACAATGGCACATCGAAGACTCAATTTCTTCAGCCTTGGCAAGAATTTGATTATGGAAATCGCAAGCAGAGCCATGCACTGAAAGATCATGGTATGAATGCTTTCTTTGCCGAGACTCTCCACCAATCCAAGTGCCGCCAGCAATGGAGGGAACGTCGAAGTAGTTACTCAACACATTTAGATCAAGAGTCCCCGACAGGAATGGCTCAAAAAATGCTTGTCGCCATGAGCCACAAACTCGAGAGAAACATAAGATCAAATCCATGAGACTGACAGCGTTCAATAGCAAATTGGGCTGCATATCAACTCAGTTCTCCTCTTTTGATTGACACTCTTCTTACTCGCTGTTGATTCCCGAGTCCTTGTCTTTTCAGAAATGGAATATCTATGCCCTTTACATGGAGAAAGAGATCAAAATTAACTGGTAAGCAGAAGGTAGAAGAAAAAAGAAAATAAGTCTCACATGAAAGAGCCAAACCAAGTACTAGCTCAAGATTAATATTTATCAAAAAAGGGACTTGACATAGTATTACATACTATCTCCGTCTCAAAAAAGATGTCGCGTTTGGAACAGAGGGAATATATAGACACAACACATGCAAATGCATCCAATTCAGAGAGAGAGAGATGATCCAATTAAAAGTTCTAGTTATTATTACTATTTTTCCTTTCAAACATATAATCAATATAAGTAGGGATGGACACAAGTAATTAATATGATTCAATAAAACTCATCTGAATGGCTTGTACGTACCATTTGAATAGACTTTCAAATGTGAATCTGAGTTACTTTAACTCGGGGTTTCAGCTAGCAAGCCTAGCAATGGCTTCATTGAGAACATTTACAGTATCAGTCTATCAGATGATCATTTCTTTTTCAAGTTTTGGAAAGATTATATATATATATATATATTAATTTGCATATTTATTAATTTTTTTTTTTTTTTTTTTACAAGTGTAAAGAACGAATAAATTGCTAATTTGCAATCATCTAATAGAAGATATTTCCGTAACAAAGGTTTATGTAACTCGTAGTTGGATGTATTCACGTATTTATTATAGTTGCAAATAGTGTCATAATCATTATTGTTGCTATATGTGGATAAAATTTATTGTTTAAGGGTTTTTTAACGTGATTCAAAGGACGCTTCTTAAATCTTTTGCATGATTTTTAAAATAGGCTAAATTACAATAACCTCCCTTAAATTTGATATTATTTCATGGACTTCTTTGAAAAAGGATAGAAACTTCGTTTGTTTTGTTATACCTAACTTTAATATTGAAGAACTAATTTTGGCCTTCTAGAATTATTTTATTCAATTTAAAACTACAACTAAATTTTATGGGCAAAATGGTAAAGCTGAATACTTCATTGGGATGGAAGTGTTACATATTTTCGGAATTGCTTTTTTTTTTTTACACTAAAACATGATGAATTTTAAATGATGAATTAAATACAGGGTGTATGTTTGATAAATGATATTAATCATATTGGAAACTTATTGTGTAATGTATTAGAAGATAATAATCTTAGTTGGAGTACATAGTGTAATGTGATAAATGCTATTAATCATAATTATTCATTCTTGCTGATAAATGATATTACCTTCGTCCCAAAAAAAGTGTCGCTAATAGGGAACCACGATTTCCTAAAAGTGACGTTTTTTATGGGACGGAGAGAGTACTTATTATTTCAGGTTATTATTCTGTATTTTGATAAATGAAATTAACCATATTATAAATGATGTTAATTATAATATGATTTATGATATTAATTATATTATAAATGACATTAATCATAATCGGATTTATTAGGATTTATGATATTAATCATATTATAATTGTTATTAATCGTAAAGTGATTTTAGTTGTGTTTCATGATATAACAATGTTTTTCTTTTAGACTTTGGTAAGGAAAACTTAATAGAGAAAAATTATAAAACTAAAGAAAGGCTTGAGCAAGGGCCTTCTTGCGGCATCCAGCAAAGCTGCAAAAGCATGATGCAGTTTCACTGCAGTCTACAGACTCTACACCATGGGCTCTGATGATCAATGTTTCATGTGAGTCCAATGTACATACATGTGTGTTATATACTTTGGGTAAGTTGTTTGTGTCCATATTATCTCTCAACAAAGAAAAAATCATGTACTTCTAGTCGTGATATTCGATTCCATGGGTGAACACTAGAATTGCGTGATCAATGCTTGGATTAGATCCAATCATAAGTAAAAAATATCTACGAATTTGGGATAAAAATTGAAATAAAATTTACATATTATATAAAAATTATATTTGTAATAAAGCATCCAGTGATTGCTTGGAGTTGCAGCCTGCTTTAGAGAAGTTTTATTACGAGTATAATGTGATTGCTTGGGGAACGGTGGAATTCCTTGCTTGATGAAGTATATATTCCATGGAAAAGCAAAAAAATAAAAAATAAAAAAATAAAAAGGTCCTTAGAACAGAAGACTAGCAGTAGTAATAAGTTCATTATTTTAATATATAATATATAAAAATAAATTTATACATTTAGACGACCCATAGAATTATATATTAGAAGGGGTGGATATTATGGGGTATCAATAGAAATTGAGCGGAGCATATTTAAATTTTTTACAAGCACTGACTGTGATTTGGCTCACTTTGCCAATGTGTCTGAATCTTCAACAACCTCTTCACCTTCTGTAATGACCCAAACCCGGGGTCCCAAAACAATAACCGAGTTATAGGGGGTAATTTGGTCATTTCACAATTAAGGAGAGAAATATGGCTCAAACAAGGTCAAATGAATCCATCTCAACCATTTCGTAACATCCCATGAGGTTCCAAGAACTTTGGTTGTGGTTTTTCACAATTACCCCATCTCGGTTTAGGGGCCTTCTCGACATTGTCCTACTAAAATGCGAATATCTCCCCGTACAAGTGGAATCTAAATATGGCATCAGTAGCATTGGGAAGAGGGTTCACAATCCTTGAAATTAGACTCAAGAATGACCCCAATTGAATTTGAAACGAGAAAGTTACAGCTGATTAAAGTCTGAATTAAAAAAAAATGACAAGCAGTAAGGGAGCCAGCTCCCATTTGGATAGAGCCGCCTCCTTTCTACGAAAGGAGATGGCTCCACTCCAAAGGAGCAAGCTACACTTCACAAGGAGCATGCTCTACTCCAAAGGAGTAAGTTCCATTCCATGATTTTTACAAAATTTAGCTACTGGACCAAAATGAGTTGACTCCCAAAGGTGGAGAGCAAGCTCTACACCTGGGAGGCCTGATATCTGCTACCCCAATTGCATTTCTAAGTTGTAAATTTAATCCTCTCAACCCAACATACATGAATGGCAAAAATAAACAATTGATAAGCTAATTCAAGGAGTTCTACAACATGGCGACACAAAGAAACTTTGATTACATCATACATTCATCATCATTCTTCCCATACAACTAAGAAATAATACATGGTCATTACATTTAGCTCAATTTACATCAAAATGGCATCAAGGTCGATAGTTATATTACAAGGCCATGCTAAGCAAATTTATTACATTTCAAGATGGTGCTTTACAAAAGAATGACGATGCTTGTGGAGGAATGTCATCCACCACCTCCTTCTCGTGACTTGTAAAATGTTGATAATAAAGCGGTGAACAAAATTCCTCAGTAGGTGGTGCCTAAGACACACCTTTTGTGATCCCATGAATCCAAATAATGAATAGAATTAAAGGGGACGGGAACATGCTATGCCGGGGGAAAATACAATACTTTCGGGATCGTAAATAAACAATGTGATGCAATGGCATGCAATGTCACTCCCCATTTTCAAAATCACTTCCATTCTTCACTTTTCAAACCGTTAACATAACCTGTCCCTCGGTGACCCCTTGGCGACACGAGAGAAGGATTGGCTACTGTCCTTGACCCTTGGTAATCTCGCAGCGCCATTTGGGGCCCAGATAGCTCAACCACGCTAAGGCGGTCTCCATAGTTCCCTCTAAGTTACATTAATGCCACGGACCCTCGGTACTCCCTTGGCGTCCGGGTTTTTCATAAAACCCTTTTTGTCAAAACCTTTCCCAAACCCCCTTTTTCATTTGTTTCCAAATCAATTCCCCTTTTTTTTATGCCCAATCATATGCATGTATGTTTCATGCTTTCCAATACTATGACAATAAAAGGTTTCCATACTTGTGATAACCCGAATTTTTTTAAGGTTTTAAATTTTATGATTTTTAGTCAAGATTGATTATTTTATTTTTTTATTGGTTATTTTGAGTTATTAATATTTTGTTCTTTAGTGTTGATTTTAATAAAATTATTTAATTATTTATTTTATTAAGTTAGTGGAGGTTTAGTTTTGATATTTTATATATATAGTTTATATATGTTGTCTGTGGGGATGCTTCATGCTTGCCGCGGAAGTGGAAAGAAATGAAGAGAAAATTGAGATTTGTGTTACGGGTCCCATGATAATTGATTTGGGATGTTTTTATTATATATATATATATATATTTTGCACCAAACTGATAAGAAGGAGTCGAAATGGAGAAAAGAAAATTTGTGATGCTGGTGGGCTCCACTTGGATATTAAATAGGGCAAGACTTTTTGACATTGTTTTTTTTTTTTTTTTATCACGTGGCCTTGTTTTCTTTGGTGGTGTTGCATTGTATATAGAGGTGATGTATAGTTCGCGGGACCCATAAGGATTTTCATTGCCAAAGTTCATTGGACTTGGCTCTTTATGTGGGCTGAAATAATGTTGTCTGACATTTTGTTTTTGAGTGTGTGGTGGGCAGATTGATGTGTGTATGGAGTCAGTGGAGAGTAGTTGGTGGGTTAGATCGGTGGAAGTGCCTTTAAATTGGGTGTTTTGTGACTTGAGTAAGTATGCAAATAAGATAGAAAAAAATAAGAGAGGAATAAAGAGACAGAGAGTGCACAGATAGAGGGCCGAGAGTTTGAGGAAAAATACAGAGAGTGAGTTTTGAGGAAAAGACAGACTAGTTAAGAGAGTTTGAGGAGTACAGAGGAGCCGAGATTGCAGAGGAGGCCGGAGTTTGAGGCTCTCTATACTTTGAATGGCTTGGAGTGGTTTTGCTTCAAATGGTTTTGTTAAAGGTTTTGATTAAATGCATATGTATTTTGTTTATACTCACCTGTACATGTTTATTTTGTGAAGCTGTTTTATTAAACCTCCATGAAATTGTTGTTATGGTTTTTCCTACTGGGACTTTTTGTCTCACCACCCTTCAGTTTTAGGTACCGAAGATGAACGGGGATCGCTAAAGACGGGCTTAGGATGAAGAGTTGGCGTTGCGAGTTTTATTTTTATTTATTTGGAGAATTTTTTTGTATATTTGAGGAAATTAATTTTTGTATAAAAGAGGGTATTTTTTTTTTATGATCCTGGGTGTATTTTGATATATTTGCATTTGTATAAATTGAGAATTTATTGAAAATTTCAGGTCATGACAAAATGGTATCAGAGCTGTACCCAGCCGGAAGTGTAAGTGTAGTGATGATGTAGACGGGTGTGAGTGGGCGAGTGTGTAGCACTGGTGAGCTACCACTCGTAGCCGAGTGTGTGTGGGCGGATGACATTCACTGGCAGTTACTGGGATGGTTAGTTGGTGTGGTTGGGCGTGCAGGTAGCCTAAATTTGTTGTTTTTTTTAGTGGGTGGGTAGGTGACGCATCGACTAGTTACCACAACGGTTACGGAGTGTGTGGAAGGGTGACTAACACTGTCAGTTACCACAACGTCCTGCATATCACTGTATCTCACATCGCCTGGGTTAAGGATTTATGAATTTGGTTTTATGATTATTGGTGTTTTCGGGTACACGGATTGTTAGATCTGAATTTTGAGGACAAAATTCTCTTTAAGCGGTGGAGATTGTGATAACCCGAATTTTTTTAAGGTTTTAAATTTTATGATTTTTAATCAAGATTGATTATTTAATTTTTTTATTGGTGATTTTGAGTTACTAATATTTTGTTCTTTAGTGTTGATTTTAATAAAATTATTTAATTATTTATTTTATTAAGTTAGTGAAGGTTTAGTTTTGATATTTTATATATATAGTTTATATATGTTGTCTGTGGGGATGCTTTATGCTTGCTGCGGAAGTGGAAAGAAATGAAGAGAAAATTGAGATTTGTTTTGCCTATGATAATTGATTTGGGATGTTTTTATTATATATATATATTGCACCAAAGTGATAAGGAGGAGTCAAAATGGAGAAAAGAAAATTTGTGATGTTGGTGGGCTCCATTTGGATATTAAATAGGGCAAGACTTTTTGACATTGTTTTTTATCACGTGGCCTTGTTTTCTTTGGTGGTGTTGCATTGTATATAGAGGTGATGTACAGTTCGCAGGACCCATAAGGATTTTCATTGCCAAAGTTCATTGGACTTGGCTCTTTACGTGGGCTGAAATGATGTTGTTTGACATTTTGTTTTTGAGTGTGTGGTGGGCAGATTGATGTGTGTATGGAGTCGGTGGAGAGCAGTTGGTGGGTTGGGTCGGTGGAAGTGCCTTTAAATTGGGTGTTTTGTGACTTGAGTAAGTATGCAAATAAGATAGAAAAAAGTAAGAGAGGAATAAAGAGACAGAGAGTGCACAGATAGAGGGCCGAGAGTTTGAGGAAAAATACAGAGAATGAGTTTTGAGGAAAAGACAGAGTGAGTTAAGAGTTTGAGGAGTACAAAGGAGCCAAGATTGCAGAGGAGGCCGGAGCTTGAGGCTTTGATGATCTAGTGAGGAAACTCTTTTTCAGTGTAGGGTTCTCTATACCTTGAATGGTTTGGAGTGGTTTTGTTTCAAATGGTTTTATTAAAGGTTTTGATTAAATGCATATGTATTTTGTTTATACTCACCTGTATATATTTATTTTGTGAAGCTGTTTTATTAAACCTCCATAAAATTGTTGTTATGGTTTTTCTTACTGGGACTTTTTGTCTCACCACCCTCCAGTTTCAGGTACCGAAGATGAACGGGAATCGCTAGAGACGGGCTTAGGATGAAGAGTTGGCGTTGCGAGTTTTATTTTTATTTATTTAGAGAATTTTTTTGTATATTTGGGGAAATTAATTTTTGTATAAAAGAGGGTATTTATTTTATTTTATTTTATTTTATTTTATGATCCTAAGTGTATTTTGATGTATTTGAATTTGTATAAATTTAAGATTTTATTGGAAATTTTGGGTCGTGACAATACTACACAAATTAACATGTCTCTATATAGCAAGTTCTAGCAAGTTAATAAACATAATAGGCATGAAAAATTAACATTTAGGCATACTTTTCACATAAATCAACTAATACACATAATTACATGCTTCATATACACAATTAAGTCATTTAAAGAAAAATCCAACACATTTAAGCATGCTAGACAACAATCACATAGAATTGACTCACAAAGGTACAAGAATGCATGGATTAGAGATCCCTATCTCACTTAGATGCAAAACCCAAAAATGAGCCCAAATTTTTGAAAATCAAAGGGTTGGCCAAACAAGGAATTGCTTTTACCAAAACGAAGGTCTTGACCAGCTTTCCGTTTTGCCTCAAACGGCACTGACAAATTCCCACAAATGAGGGAGAAATTGAAGTTTGAAATGGATGAAGAAAGAAAAGAAAAATGAAGAGAAGAGAGGGGAAGAGAGCTTTATGGGGAGAGAGAATGTATGAGACCAAATGTGGTCTCTTGGCCACAAAATGAACCCATCACTTAAAAAAAAAACCTTTTTAATTTAATTTATCCACTACAAAGTTATATATATACTTTAATACAATACAACCATACAATTAAATTTACCACAATAAAATTATGCATGACATGCAATGGACCTGTGATACCAACCCTGTGCACAAAAATCTTGATAACGGGTCCCACCTGGGACTTTCCAGTCTAAAAAATGAAAAAATGACGAAATGACGACCATTGCATTTCTAAGAGTCTTAAACTCAAAGAAATGCCCTTGTAAAAACGGAAAATTCCAGAAAAATGAAAAATGGAGAAAAACAGAAACATCACAATCTCCCTAACTTAAATGATTTCGTCCCCGAAATCGAGTCATACCTGAGGGAGAAAACAACGTCGAATACTTGGAGCGGACCTCCTGTTCGAGCTTCCAAGTAGCTTCCTCTACTCTGTGATGCCTCCAAAGGACTTTCACCAATGGTATCGTCTTGTCCCTTAACACTTTCTGCCACGTGTCAAGGATCTGAACTGGTCATTCCTCATAGAAAACATCCTTATCAATATCCACATCAACCCAACCAAGAATGTGAGACGGATCCGGTTTATACTTTTATAGCATCGACACATGAAAAACATTATGAACTCTGTCCATCTGTGGTGGCAATGCAAGTTTGTGGGCAACCTCTCCTACGCGGTCTAAGATCTCAAAAGGTCTAATGAATCGTGGCGATAACTTGACACTCTTCCCGAACCTCATCAAACCCTTCCGTGGAGAAACCTGTAGAAAGACTTGGTCTCCTACCTCAAAGGATAGCGGCCGTCTCTGCTTATTTGCATAGCTCTTTTGTCGGCTCTGAGCTGTGAGCAACCTCTGTCTGATCAGCTTAATCTTCTCAATAGTCTCGAGTACAATGTCGGGTCCTAAAGCGGCTGTCTCGCCTACCTCAGCTTAACAAACTGGAGATCTACAAGGTTTACTGTATAACGCCTCAAATGGAGCCATCTCAATGCTCGCTTGATAACTGTTGTTGTAGGCAAACTCAATAAGCGGTAGATGATCTTTCCAACTACCACCCAAATTGAGTACACAAGCCCGAAGCATATCTTCTAAGATCTGGATGGTATGCTTTGACTGGCTGTTCGTCTGTGGATAAAATGGCGTACTAAGGTGCAACGCTAAGCCAAACGCTGCTTGAAGTCCTTCCTAGAATTTCGAAGTGAATTTAACATCTATATCCGATACAATAGATAATGAAACTCCGTGCAACCTCACAATTTCTTTTACATATAGCACACCAAATGCTTCTGTGTTATCTGTCGCCTTAATAAGCAAAAAGTGTCTATCAATAATGACCCATATGGCTTCATTCCCCTTCCGTGATTTAGGAAGACCTGTCACAAAATCCATAGCAATCTGTTCCCATTTCTACTGCGCTACAGATAATGGTTGTAACAAACCGGCTGGTCTCTGATGCTCGGCTTTCACCTGCTGACAGGTAAGACATCTAGCCACAAACTGTGTAACATCTTTCTTCATTCCATTCCACCAATACTGACGTCTCAAATTGTGATACATTTTAGTACCACCTGGATGAACTGAAAAACGGGAAGTGTGAAACTCCCGTAAAATGTCCTCACGACATCCTGTGGAAATAACCAATAAGCCTTTAAACCGAAGACCTCTATCTGCATGTAAGGTCCAATCTTTCACTGTCTCGCCACTAGAGATCAAGATGTGAATAACATCCAAATCTGGATCCTATCTCTGCCACTCAATCACTCGTTTGACAAGAGTAGGCTGAGCCACAAGACTAAACAAGAATGCCAACTCACAACAAGCATTGACATCAAAACACTGCAATCCCATTTCTGCCAAATTCTCAAGCATCTTCCATTTCTGAATGGCTATTCCAGCCAAAGTCCCACGAGATTTCCAGCTTAAGGTGTCGGCTACTACATTTGCCTTACTCGGATGATACTGTAAGTTAAAGTTATAATCTTCCAAAAACTCAACCCATCGCCTTTGTCTGTTGTTCAAGTCCTTTTGGGAGAAAAGGTACTTGAGACTTTTGTGATCCGAGAACACCTCGAATCTTTCACCATACAAATAGTGTCTCTAATACTTCAAGGCAAATACAACTGCCGCTAATTCCAGATCATGAGTAGGGTAGTTGTACTCATGAGTCCTCAACTATCGAGACCCATAAGCCACTACTCTATCACCCTGCATCAGTACACAACCCAAACCATCACGTGAAGCGTCACAATAAATCATATAACCTAAGCCACTCTTAGGTATCACCAACACTGGAGTTGTAGTCAATCTTGTCTTCAACTCTTGAAAAGAAGACTCACATTTTTCATTCTACGTGAACTTGATCCCTTTCCGGGTCAAGCGAGTTATAGGCGCTGTCAAACGGGAAAAATCCTTCACAAATCTACGCTAATAATCCGCTAGGCTAAGAAAACTCTGGATCTCAAAAACATTCTTGGGAGGCTCTCAATTCAGAACTACTTCTATCTTCGATGGATCTACTGATACTCCGCCTTCCGAGACAATATGCCCCAAAAATTTCACCTCTTGCAGCCAAAACTCACACTTCTCATATTTAGCATACAAACGGTGCTCTTGCAAAATCTACAATACAATAATCAAATGGATCTCGTGTTATTCCTAAGTATATGAATACACAAGAATGTCATCCACGAAAACTATCACAAACTGGTCCAAGTAATCGTGAAAGACTCGGTTCATTAAGTCCATGAATACCGCTGGCGCATTAGTCAAGCCAAAGGGCATAACAAGGAATTCATAATGTGCATACGGAGTACAGAACGTCGTCTTTGGGATATCCTCATCTCTAACCCGCAACTGATAGTAGCCTGATCTTAAGCCAATCTTCGAAAAACAACTGGCTCCTTTCAACTGGTCAAACAAATCATCTATCCTTGCCATATGATACTTGTTCTTGATGGTGGCATGATTTAACTTCCAGTAATCAATGCACAACCTCAAAAAACCATCTTTCTTCTTAGCAAACAAGACCGGTGCGCTCCACGGTGACACTTCGTCGGATGAAGCCTTTCATCTTTAAGTCATCAAGATACTTCTTCAATTCTTCTAACTCCACTGGTGCCATACGATATGGTGCCATAGAAATCGGCGCGGTACCGAGCATCAAATTGATAGCAAACTTCACTTCCTGATGTGGGGGCAACTCCGTTAAATCCTTCGAAAAAATGTCCAAAAAGTGACGAACAACTGTCGGATAATCCTTTCCCACAATATCATATTCTTCGGCTAAAAGACTAGCCAAGAAGTGGTCACCACAACTCCATCCACGAATTCTACAAAGTGATGAAGATTGGGAATCACTCCGATCTCCCATGAAAAAGAAACAGTCTCCCTCGGGAGTGCAAAATTGTGATTCTGCCTTTGAAACAATCGATCATAGCCTGAAATGAAACTAACCAATCTATCCCGAGAATGACATCAAAGTTAGTCATCTCCAGGAAGATGAGGTCAAACACAAAAGTCCGTCTAGCTATCACAATGGAACAATCCCTCACAACTATGCTTAAGGACACTGAAACCCAAACTGGCGTATCAACACACAACGCCTGATCTAAGTGACTTGCCTCTAACCCCGATGCAAGTACAAATGATGATGATATGAAAGAATGAGATGCACCAGAGTCAAACAAAACACGGCCCAAGAGACAAACACTGGAAATATACCTCGGATGACTGATAGACTAGAAGACGAATCGGCCTGGACAATTGCAAAGACACACCCTTATGGCGCCTGTGCCTTAGAACTGCCAACCTGAACACCTGACTGTTGCATTGACATAGTAGGAGTATCTCTCCTAGTTGGCCGTGAACCCTGTGAAGATATAGCAGGCTGTGGTGGTGGTGGTGGTGGTCTGAAATCTGAATAAATTGTAGCCGACTATGACGGCCTCTGCTATGACCCTCTGCCACTACCGATGCCTACTCCCCGACTCAGACAGTCTCGAATCACATGGCTTTGCTGGCCATACCCATAACAAGCTCTCGATGTTATTGAAATTGTAGTCAAATTCATAGGGCATCTGGACTTATAATGTCCAGGCTGTTGGCACTGATAACAAATAACTCCATTCTTATCTGACTTAACTAGCATAGAAGTAGTAGGAGTGGATCGTGCAAACTGTTGTTTCTGAAACTGAGATGAACCACTCTTGTTCTTCTTCTATGGTGGTCCCTCTGAAGAGGATCCTGCATTCCTCTTTTGCTTACACTATTCCCTTCCTGCATTTCTATCTTTTGCTTCTGCCTCTAGCATTAATGCTCTTTCCACTGCCTCCGAATAAACTTTGAAATACTGTGCCGTTATCAACGACCTCATTTGGTAATGAAGAACGAAAATAAACTTCCGAGTTTTGTTAGCTTCATTCCTCACTATCTCGGGAGCAAAACGAGAAAGAGAAGTGAACTTGTTCTCATATTTCGTCATTGACATATTGCCTTGGATAAGGCCATTAAACTGTTCCCTTAGCTCCCATCTCTTAGTAATCGAAAAATACTTCTCGTAGAGCAGCTCCTTGAATATGTCCCAACTCATCTCTTCAACCTTATGCTAATTAGTGACTGACTTCCACCAAAGCTTATTATCCTTTGAAAACTTGTAAGTGGCTAGGATGATTTTCAAGTGATCATCCACCACATCTATAGAAGTTAAATGGGTTTCTACTTGATCCATGTAGTTGTCCGCTACCATTGGATTCGCACCGCTCTCAAACATTACCGACATCAACTTAGAAAACCTTGTAATCAACTTGAGACGCTTCTGTGCTGACGTTTCCTCTACCTAAACTACAGGTTGTGGTACCGATTGCGGAAGAGTAACAATTGTAGCCCTCAAGGCATTCTGCAACAAACGGTTCAGTGCTAGTTCAGCCAAACCTTCACCCTCTTCAATGAGTGTCACAACATCATCCTTCTTAGTGGAAACACCTCTCGGGGGAATCAAGTCCCTAAGAAGTGTATCCTCATCAACTTGCTCCGCTGGATTGGAGCTAGAACTTTCACCAACATTGCCCCATGTCAGCCTAGGGTCAACTCCCATTGGTTCCATTCGCGGTGGCATCGTGCTATAAAATGAGAAAACGGTTTAATAATAATGGCACTAAAGTCCAATTGAAAATGACTCGACACAAAATGATACCATACCAACACTTAGCATGTAAGGCTATGCAATGAGTACATAAACACATAAGCACTTAATTAAGTAAACAGTTAAGCATAGTTTTCAAATAACGAAACACTTTAGCAAATAATCACATAGACAATGCAAATGGCTTCCCATGCAACCCTAGGTAAGCCTCTACCCATCGTCTTAAGGGTTTTCGAACCATTGCTTTGATACTAAGTTTGTAACAACCCAAACCCGGGGTTCCAAAACAATAACTGAGTTATGGGGAACAATTTGTTATTTCACAATTAAGGAGAGAAATATGGCTCAAACAAGGTCAAATGAATCCATCTCAATCAGTTCGTAACATCCCATGAGGTTACAAAAACTTTGGTTGTGGTTTTCCACAATTACCCCATCTCGGTTTAGGGGCTTTCTCGACATTGTCCTACTAAAATGCAAATATCTCCTAGTACAAGTGGAATCTAAAAATGGTATCAGTACCATTGGAAAAGGGTTCAAAATCCTTGAAATTAGACTCAAGAATGACCCCAATTGGATTAGAAACGAGAAAGTTACAGTTGATTAAAGTCTGAATTAAAAAAAAATAACAAGTAGTAAGGGAGCCAGCTCCTATTTGGATGGAGCCACCTCCTTTCTCTCCACTTCAAAAGGAGCATGCTCTACTCTAAAGGAGCAGGCTCCATTCCATAATTTTTATGAAATTTAGCTAATGGACCAAAAAGGGTCGACTCCCAAAGGGGGAGAGCCAGCTCTAAACCTGGGAGGCCTGAAATCTGCTACCCCAATTGCATTTCTAAGCTGTAAATTCAATCCTCTCTACCCAACATACATGAATGGCAAAAATAAATAATTGATAAGCTAATTCAAGTTCTACAACATGGCGACACAAAGAAACTTTGATCACATCATACATTCATCATCATTCTTCCTATGTAACTAAGAAATAATACATAGTCATTACACTTAGCTCAATTTACATCAAAATAGCATCAAGGTCGATAGTTATATTACAAGGCCATGCTAAGCAAATTTATTACATTTCAAGATGGTGTTTTACAAAAGAATGACTCATGACTACAAAAAGTTGCAAAACACATTTCAAGCTTCTTTATGCTTGTGGAGGAATGTCATCCACCACCTCCTTCCCGTGACCTGTAAAATGTTGATAATAAAGGGGTGAGCAAAATTGCTTAGTAGGTAGTGCCTAAGACACACCTCTTGTGACCCCATGAATCCAAATAATGACTAGAATTAAAGAGAATGGGAACATGCTATGCCGGGGGAAAATACAACAATTATGGGACTGAAAATAAAAAATGTGATGGAATAGAATGCAATGGCATGCAATGTCACTCCCCATTTTCAAAATCACTTCCATTCTTCACTTTTCAAACCATTAATATAACCCGTCCCTCGGTGACCCCTTGGCGACACGAGAGAAGGATTGTCTACTGTCCTTGACCCTTGGAAACCCCGCAGCGTCATTTGAAGACTAGATAGCTCAACCATGCTAGGGTGGTCTCATTGGTTCCCTCTAAGTTACATTAACACCACGGACCCTCGGTACCCCCTTGGCATCCGGGTTTTTCATAAAACCCTTTTTGTCAAAACCTTTCCCAAAACTCATTTGGTTACAAATCAATTCCTCTTTTTCATGCCCAATGATATGCATGTATGTTTCATGCTTTCCAATACTATGACAATAAGGGGTTTCCATACTACACAAATTAACATGCCTTCATATAACAAGTTCTAGCAAGTTAATAAACACAATAGGCATGAAAAATTAACACCTTGGCATACTTTTCACACAAATCAACTAATACACATAATTATATGCTTCATATACACAATTAAGTCATTTAAAGGAAAATCCAACACATTTAAGCATGCTAGACAACAATCATATAGAATTGACTCACAAAGACACAAAGAATGCATGAATTAGAGACCCCTACCTCACTTAGATGCAAAACACAAAAATGAGCCCAAATTTTTGAAAATTAAAGGGTTGGCCAAACAAGGAATTGCTTGTACCAAAATGAAGGTCTTGACGAGCTCTCTGTTTTTCCTCAAACGGCACCGACAAATTCCCACAAATGAGGGAGAAATTGAAGTTTGAAATGAATGAAGAAAGAAAAGAAAAATGAAGAGAAGAGAGGGGAAGAGAGCTTTACTGGGAGAGAGAATGTATGGGACCAAATGTGGTCTCTTGGCCACAAAATGAATTAAGTGGGTCCCACCACTTTAAAAAAAAAACCTTTTTAATTTAATTTATCCACCACAAAGTTATATATACTTTAATACAATACAACCACACAATTAAATTTATCACAATAAAATTATGCATGATATGTAATGGACCCGTGACACCAACCCTGTGCACAAAAATCCCGATAGCGGGTCCCACTTGGGACTTTTCTGTCCGAAAAACAAAAAAATGACGAAATGACAACCATTGCATTTCTAAGGGTCCTAAACTCAAAGAAATGCCCTTGCAAAAACGAAAAATTCCAAAAAATTAGAAAATGGGGAAAAACAGAAACATCACACCTTCTTCTTCAAAATAATCTCGTGGTTTAAGTTTCCAACTCCTTCTACATATTCTTCGCTCACTCTGATATTACCGAATACAAAATAAATAAATAAAAAGTTAACTCGTTAAACATGTGTTATAAGCTTATAAACCATATAAAATGGAAGGAAAAGTATTCTAAAAAATGTACCTTGATCTGTGAATCCAACTCTTATCCATATTTGTGTCCTTAAAGAGGCAACTATAAGCAATGCGATTGAAGAAACTACAAAGGCAAGTAGGTTATAGAGTACATGCAAGCATGATACATGAAATTAGTAGCTTCATGTAAAAGAGTCAACTAAGGCATAAAATTATGATCTCCCCTTTCCCTTCAGTCCCCTCCCATCCCATTCAGTTTTCACCTTTATCGCATTAATTCTTCAAGTTGAAGTGAAGTCTCTGATGCAGCAATCTACTTTACTACCTATGCTCACATGCAATCAAATATGCCGAGAATATAAAAAACCAATTTATCACTCGGAATACTTTTATTATCCTAGTTGCTTAATGAAGAATAGGGTATAATTCGTTGCTAATTTAGCGAGGAAATAATTTATATTATTGTCTCATATACAGCATAATATGTAAACCAATAACCACATCTAAGAGGAAATAGATTAGAGTTTATAGGAGCAAAGGATGGGGGGAAGGGAAGTGAGGATGCTGGGTGAGGTGTAAACTACATACATACAAGTTCAAGTTGTCAAAGAACTTTGATTATGGATAGAATTGAATGATTAAAAAACTTAATGCAACTTCATGAACAAGAAAACTATGGCCAGCTTTGAGCGCCATTCATTGGAATCCAAATTGTGGCGATTTTTCAGACTGCAAAAAGAATTGAAAATTGCTACCAATAGAAAAATCAGATAAACTATGATGAACAATGCTAATGCTGGTCACAAAAACGAAGAAGAATGAATGATTGTTTTGCCACACAAGTCTATACAAAATTATATACAGCAAATGTTTGTATATAAAGATTTCAGATGCAAAGCTAAACAAAGCAATGAATCTACATAACATGCATGTCAGAAATAGATCATACTACCATACTACAGGAGGTGAAAATTGTAAAGGAAACACTATTAAATCGGATAGACTTAATCTAACCAAAATATATTCACAATTCCACTTTAACCACCCAATTATGGATCAGTTTTTTTGATTATATTAATTTCTTATCAGTACATTTATATACATCAACGTGTATGTACATATGTTATATCTATTAAAAACATAAGTTTATTACAGTATGCATTCTAAACATGCTACTGAAGTTTAAAGTTCTCCCCTTCTGCTCCCACTCTCTCTTTCGCACTCACTCCTACTCCTGCTTTGTGAATTATATTTATAAAGTGATATTTGTAGTTTTTGCTTGCAGTAATTTTCTCTGAATTGTTTTCACTGTATATATATTTTCCTAATACTGTTGGAAGCGTACAGAATTACGATATTTTGTTGGTTGGATTTTTTTATATAGAATTAAGTATTGTGCAGTATATATATTAATTGAAACCTTGAAACATTTTTTAATTGCTGAAAACCATATCTAGTATGTGGTTATGCCTGACGAGTTTTCCATTCATATGGTTCAAATACTGTTGAAAATTAGAAGATTGTGCTAATGCATTACTGTATATACAAACATCAATGCCTAATTGAGCATGAAATCCGATAAAAACAAATTATGATGAAGAGTGAAAAACCTAGGGTTCGCAGTCTGATTTAGGAGAAATAGTGATCAGTGAAGAAGTGAGGAGCGAGAGTAAAGAGAGAAGATTGAGGAACGGGAGTGGAGAGAGAAAGTGAGAAATAACATCAATCCCTAATTAATAATGAAATAATGAATTCAAACAAAAAAAAGAGCTGTGAAATTTACCTGTGAGTGGACAAAAATGGAGATAACGTCGATGATTGTTGGCCTGTTTTGGCGAATCAGATGTCGATTTGGCTCCCAAATCAAACTCCAACCGGGATTGTGTTCGCAGTATAATTTTGGTAGATCAAGCTCTCCATTGAAGAGCGAGGAGAGAGGAGAGACCAGTCTGAGTCGAGCTAGGGAGAAAAGGGAGTGGGGTAGAGAGAGAAAGCAAGGAGCGACCAGAGAGAAAGCGAGGAGCGATGTGAGAGGATTGGGGGTAGAGAGAGAGTCTGAGTCGAACGAGAGAGAGAGAGAGAGAGAGAGAGAGAGGATTGGGGGTAAAGAGAGAAACTGAGGATTGATTGGAAAATGAAAAAAGAAAAAATAAAAATAAAAAATGAATAATAAAAATGAAAAATGTCGGGGGCATTTATTTTTTACTTCTTTCTGCATTTTTTTATAAAGTGCTTTTAAAAATGATTTTTGAACAGTATTTTATAATATTTGCTGCTAGACCCATCTTTCCTTGTAGTGATATTTATATTTATAATAAAGCATCCAGTGATTGCTTGGAGTTGCAACCTGCTTTAGAAAAGTTTATTACGAGTATAATGGGATTGCTTGGCGAACGGTGGAATTCCTTGCTTGATAAAGTATATATTCCATGGAAAGCGAACGGTGGAATTCCTTGCTTGATAAAGTATATATTCCATGGAAAAGCAAAAAAAAAAAAAAAAAAAATGAGGGTCCTTAGCACAGGAGATTAACAGTAGTAAAAAGTTCCTCATTATTTTACTATATAATACACAAAAATAAATTTATATATTTAGACGAGCCATAGAATTATACTAGGAGTGGATATGATGGGGGGTATCAATAGAAATTGAGGGGGGCATATTTAATTTTTTTACAAAAAAGAGAGAACATTTTAAATATTTTAAAAAAATTTATAGTTAATTTTATAAATAATTTTTAAAAATTTTTTTTTTTAGTGGAGGGGGCTCCCCTGCCCTTTAATGGGTCCGCGCCTGTTTAGACCTCAAATCAAAATGAAATTATATGGGCCTCTTTGAAATTATTATAATATTATTTTTTTGATATTAATTTTTAAATTTGAATCTTTTTCAATTTGAGTCCATAACTGACATTGATTTGAAAGAGTTCCTAACACACAACCTTACATATAAGCGTAGATGTTTTCAAAGTCATCACCGCCCAGGTCCCAGCCAAATAAGAAATGAATAAATAATCAATCAACTTATCAATTCCCATTTCCTTTTGAATGAAGTGGAAAATTTATATTCCTATACATGCAGCATGATCTCCAAGTACATATGCAATATATATATATATATATATATAACCAATATCTACTATAGTACTTACAACATTGTTAACACTATTGTTTCCTTCCTCTATATATATAAATATGTAAGGGAGAGAAGAGGAAGAAGAGTGATTTAAGTTAGCAAATTAAAGAAGAAATGGATTTTAGAGGAAGGATACGGACATTACCATCCAGGGAAGATGAGGAGAGAATAACCTTAAAGAAAAGGTTGTTCAAAAGTGCCATGGAAGGTGATTGGAAAGAAGTGGTGAATTTGTACCAGAAGCACCCAGAGGTTCACAAGGCCAAGTTCCGTCGATCAGGGGACACTGCATTGCACGTAGCCATCTCATCTGGCCAAGAAGACGTTGTTTTACAGCTAGTGAATCTCGTGAGATCCAATGAGGCTCTGAAGGTGAAAAATGAGAGAGGGAATACCCCTCTCCATTTTGCAGCATCATTGGGGCTTGTAAGGGCCTGCAATTCCATTGCAAGTAAAGACTCAAAACTAATCGGTGTTCGCAACTATGACAGTGAGACTCCTTTCTTCTTGGCCGCTCTCAATGGTAAGCTAGACGTTTTTCTTCGTCTCCATTATATGTTTGACAGTACAGAACAAGGCTACTTATATTGTAGAAGGAGTGATGGTGAAACTGTTCTTCACTCTGCAATCAATGGGGACTATTTTGGTGAGTTAGCTATCTTTAAATTAATTAGTTCTCACATACACAAACACTAGTACTCTTCTGAGTCGACCCCGTATTATATATAGAGAGAGACTACACATATATATAAATATATGTTTTCATTGACAATTTTAATTTATGAATGAGCTATACGTACAGATTTGGCATTTCAAATAATTCATAGATACGAAAAGCTTGTGCATTACGTGAACGAACTAGGATTTTCCCCTCTCCATCTTCTTGCAAGCAAGCCTACTGCATTCAGGAGTGGGAGTCATCTTGGATGGTTCAACCGGATCATTTATAATTGTAAGTCTTAATTGTCATCTAGGGATCATATAGGGTTTATGGATTTTTTGTTTTATGTATTTCAATTGCATATGGGAACTTTTAATTAGAAACTAGCTACATGTATGATCTTGATCGAATTGCATTCAAGATAGTGTATCCCAACTCTAATATATAGTATATATTTTGGATGTGTCATACATAGAAAACAGCGTTTATTTTATTAACATGATATATTTATATCTACTGTAATTTGTTAATTAAGGTATATTTGTTGATGAGCTCACGGTGGAAACCATCTACGACCAACCTCCTGATGATTCATTGAATCCTTCTGAAGACGACCGAAAGAATCCATCTCATCTAGAGAAGTCCTATCCAGAGAACTATCATACCTGCATCAACTTTTTCGGACTAGTCGGACTAGTGTCCAAGATAGTCTGTAATAATATTGATGAATTTTTTTTTTTTTTTTTTTTTTGGCGGTCACACATTTTAGAAATGTTGCTGAAACTGAGCAATATGTCTACGGAGTGCTGAACCTAAGCAATTTTTCTTTTCTTTTTTCAGTTAGTGGTGGTAAAGGTTGGCATCAAAAAAGAAAAAATAAAGGGAATGACGAGGAAGCAGATGCCAAAGAAGAAGATAATTTGAGGCAACAAAGTGAGCTTAGCGTCCTCTCTTTGTTGATAGCATAAATTAAGAGCATAAATTCTTTTATACTGAAGTTCAGCATGTATATATATTATGATTATCCAGGACATCAACCGTTTCCTATTAATTACGCCACGTGCTTTGATACCATCAAGCTCATATCAAAAGCAACGCTGTACATTCTCGAAAAAGGTACAACCTACAATTTATTAACCTTCAAACATTACAATACAGTACAGTACAGTACATTAATTTACTAGCTTGTTCAAAACTTCAAATTAATTTATGTCATTTGTTGTGGTATCAATTAAGGGTCTAGAGAAATAAAGAAGATAAAGGAGCAAAAAGAGCAGCATACATGGTCCGTCCAGATCATGAATGAACTTCTTAGACATGCTGATGAGTATGATGATGAGTATGATGATGACTTTGGATCAAGGCTGGATCCAGAATTTTTCGAAACTGAAGAAACGCCCTATTCATTTGGGGAATATGAAGGCAATATTTTCAGAATGCCCGATACGGAGCAGATAACGCCAATTGACAACAGTTTTTCAACGGCTAACCAAATCCAAGGACGGAAAAGTAATGAGAAGAGTGGAGAAGGTATATATTTAATTAATTAATCTTCTCTCCTTTCGAGTATCAATTTAAGAAAGAACGAACGTACATTAATTAATTTCGATATGAACAAATTGTACTACAAGCATGCTTAATTATATGATCCGCTGGCAATGCACAGCTCATATTTTTTTTACCATATCTATATTTGTATTCACGTTTCTATATCTATCTATATATATATATATATATTTATAGCTATATATACTATTCGTGTAAGGTATTTCTTGAATTTCCAAACATTTTTTCCAATTTTTCAATGATATTTTTAATTTGCTTTTAATGCAATCAACTACAATTTCTATTATTGTTTAATACAAGAAGTTAAATAGCCTAATATTTGTTATTATTGTCCAATAATTATTCTTTACGTACCTTTCAGAATCTCCCCCAACCAACAAGAAGTTAATAGCATGACATTTATCATTATCATTACTGTAATTATATTATTTCACCTCTTAATATTATTGCCCATCACTTACAACGTTGCTCTCTATCATTTTTAGGCCTCAACACAGATGAATTAATGAAAGTAGACTGTAGCTCTTCATTTCCAAGTAAGCCTCTCGCTGATATTTAGTCGTTGAAATGCACACATTGATACAAACATAGGTATTTTTAAGAAATTCATGAATTGATTAGTATTTCTCTTCTATTATAGTAAATATACTTATGAATTGTTATAATGTAACTATTGGTCATGAAATATTAGTTCATGAATGATTTTTCTACTTACATATTGTGTACTAATTTTTTTTAATTAGAGTGGTTTATTTAGTATTGGTTTTTCACCTCACACACAAGGTTATAGTATTCCTCATTTTAACTTTGTTGATTATGTGCTGCTTTTATTTATTAGTTTATTTGTTAATTACATTTATTTATTTCTCTATTTATATTTCAGATTCACACTATTTAATTAATTGAATTTCTTTACTTGATTAATGTTTTGATAATGGAAATCAACAATGACTAGTCTTAAAAATGGACATGAACAAAAATTACTTAGATATATAAGCCATTGACACTTATTTTGATAAATGAGATCAACAAAAATTAGCAGCTTTGACACTTATAATCTCAAGAAAAAGACCATAACCACTAAATATTTTACTTTGTCATTTTTTCTTTCTTTAAATACCCATGAGTTACTGAGTTATATTATATATAGAAATTGTTTTAAAATAATTTCTCAACATCATATATTACAACAGATTTACTTCATTAATATTTTCTTTCATAAGGATTTTTTTTTTTTTTTTTAAAGCAGAAGGAACGAACTTCCTTCTTCCTCCTTTACAATTTGGTAGAAGAAAGGAGGGAAGACAAGTGACCTATTATAAAATTTTAAATTAAATACTATCCTAATATGCATATTTTAAATTACAATATTATCCTCTATAAATTACAATATTATTGGATATAATGGTAAAAATAATTAAAGCTTTCTATAGCCTTCTCTTTTAACTAATATAGTAAATTATAAACTTATTTTCTTCTATTCCATCTAATCGAACAAAAAACAAAATAAATACATAATCTCTTTCCTGGGATGTCTTATACATCCCTTCTTCTTCTCTCCCTTCCTTCCTTCCATGTTTTTTTTTTTCTACCGAACAGAGTATAAAACAACAACCTAATAAGCCATAACTTCCTCCCCAAATCTTTAGTCCTACTCCTCAAGCCTTCAAGCTTTCAAAAATGAAAAGAAAACTCTCCCGCACTCGATCATCAAGCAAGTACGACCGGTTATACTTCTTCATAACCTCAATCTTCACCGTTTCAACAAATGTAACCAGTTGCACTTAATTGTGACTAATCACACTTTTCTAGAACATCGTTCTTAACATGAAGTTGAGCCACAACCAAACACTTTGTTGCAAATTAGATTTTATTTTTGTGCAATGCACTTGCTTTTTTACTAGTGTGTATATATTTTATTTGCTGCAACGGGCCGGTAAAAATATTTCAAAAATAATCTACACGAAAAGTATTTCAAAAATTTTTAAAATGTGTAAATAACACCTCTTGCATTCAAATTCCACCCCTATAATTTTAAAAGTATGCAAATAAAGGCTTCTAACCTTCTAAAGTGACGTGTGAATAATCTGACTAAAAAAAATGTCATTTAATACTCATACTACACTTTTGTACTGCCTAAATTACCTCTTACCCGTTTTTCTCTCTTTTATATATACAATACATATAATACTCTTATTTATTTTTGTATAATAGAAATATTTTCTTTGATTTATATAATGGAGTATAATACATATAATGGAGTGAAAATGAGGAGAGAGAGACAGTTTAGTGAGAGAAAGTGTAGAGAGAGAGAATTTAGTGAGAGAAAGTGTAGAGAGACAGAGTGAGAAATGAGGCTCGAAGCTGAAAAGATGGGAAAAAAGGTTAAGCTTATATATACATATAAAACATTTATATATATATACACACACACATATATACCTAAGAACATGTCCCCCACCATAATGAACAACTTGAGAAACCAAACCCATTAGCCCAATACTCCCTCCTCCATACACAAGATCCAGCCTTCTCGACACCTTTTCACACACAAACACACACAACGCTTAAAAACCCATGTAAATAAAATATTGAAATTCGAAAAAATGTAGATACATACACATATACACACATATATATATAGAGAGATAATAAGCTAAGATTTGAATATATATATATAGTATACCAACTCTTGGCCTAACTCAATGGCAGCATCTTTGTAGCAATTTCTCTTGCCAAAACTGTTGCACAGAACACACACCCTCTTGAACCTTAAATCTTTTACCACACGCCTAATGCTTTGACATCTTCATCGGACTCTGGCGACAGCGATAAGCCACTGAAGAAGAGAAAAAATGATGGCGATGATGAAATTGAAAGCGTTGTTGATGAACCAGTTGAACATTTCTTGCAACCACACCCACCAATCACACGATTCACACCACATAGTGTCGATTGAGGCGAACCAGATATAGGCCAAGATATCTGGTTCTCACAGCCCAAACCAGTGTCATCCGGCGAGCTCAGATCCGAGTACGGCGTAGCATAAGAGCCAAACCCATATGTGAAGATATTCCAACATGTGGTGGGTTTGAAGCGTTTGCCGTCGACATTGGTTTGGAAGCAACGCGGCGGTTTCTGTCGTCGCTGCTGTGACTGCGATTTGTACGGTGGCGACATGTAAAGTTGGCCGAACGCTGACATATAAGCCATCATAATTTCACTTTTTTAAGAATTATCCCTTAACGTGACGTGACTTCAAGCAAAACGGCTTCGTTTAATGTTAACTTTGTATCTTTTATTATTATTATTGTAAACAGCAGCATCTTGGGGGCATTATCAATTTATCATTTTTTACTTTACACAATTCATTTACCTCACAAAAAGTTTTTATTTGTATACTTTTAAAATTATAAGGATGGAATTCGATTGTGATGAGTGTTATTTACACACGCTTAATATTAGAGGGTTTTTTACACTTCACCCTAACCAAAACTAACCATTTGTTTGTTTGATTAAGAAATACTGTTTTGAATGAATCATGATTCGTTGCCATTCACACACACACACACACATATATATATGCTTGTCATGCAAAACTTTAATTAATATTGCGTAACGTACACACACATATATAGCTGCAGGTGAGAAAATGAATAGTGACATGAAGGGCATAAGGGAGATCGACAAGAGGGAGACACCCTTATTGGTTGCCGCAAAGAAAGGCATAACGGAAATGGTGGAGGCAATACTTAAACACTCTCCGGTGGCCATCCAAGACATGAATAGGGAAAATAAGAATGTAGTTCTTCTGGCAGTGGAAAACCGACAACTTGATGTATACATGCTCTTACTCAAGAGAAATAGCATGAGAGATAGTGTATTTCTGAAGGTGGACGATGAAGGCAATGGTGCATTGCATCTTGCTGCAAAGCTAGGAGAACAGAGCCGTTGGCTGGTCGCTGGCGCCGCATTGCAATTGCAATGGGAAAGCAAGTGGTATCAGGTACTTATGCATAGCTAGCTACCAAATAAGTATCAATCTTGTAATGTAAAATTGTGCAACACGGTATGTGTCTTTGATTTAATTATATTGCAGTTGGTTAAGGAGTCCATGCCATTCGTACGCTATAACAGGCGTGGTGAAACACCAGAAGAAATCTTCATAAAATCACACCTCCCACTCATCCAAGATGGTGTGTCATGGCTCTATCATGCCTCCGACTCATGCTCTGTTGCCGCGGCTCTTGTCACCACTGTGGCCTTTGCCAGCTCGGCCACCTTACCTGGCGGGGTTAACGACAGCGGCTCACCAACTTTGGAAAAACAACCAGCATTCTTGGCCTTCTCAATTGCCACATTGTTTGCTCTCTGTCTCTCCACAATCTCTCTGGTTGCGTTTTTATCAATTTTAACTTCTCGACACAAAGTGAAGGACTTCACAGGGTCTCTGCCCAGGAAATTTCTCATAGCCCTAACCACACTCCTAGGCGCCATCTTTGCTATGTTAGTCTCTTTCTCTTCAAGCCATTTCCTTATTGTTAAGGACAGGCTGCAGATAAGCGCCGCCTATCCTCTGTACACAATGTTATGTTTGGGGGCTTCCCTTTTTGTTGTCTTTCAGTTTCCTATTTATTTTGATTTTCTAGCCTATACATTCTCTAAATTGCCTCCACGCAGTTACGTAACTGACGAACTGGCACAGCTCTAGCTAGTTTGCTTTTCTTCGTCATCGTCGTCATCCTAATTTTTCTCTTCATCTTCATGTTTTTACCTTCTTCTTTTTTCATTTACTGCAAGCATGGGTGTATTTTTATTTTCTTCTAAATAAACAGAACTATTGATCATTCTGTAATTATGAGTTGTGCCTATCCTTACCTATTCATTAATTGCATGAATAAAAAACATATCTCTACATCTCCATCATATCTTAACGTATGAACTATATGTTTGGAGTATTTCTTTATAGAAAATGAAAGGTTCTCAAAGAAACCTTTCTAATAAGAAAGAAAGAAAGAAGCTGGTAGAGAAGATACAAAGAAAGAAAACATAATAAGTGAAACGTGTCATCCTTCATTCTTTATAAATTTTTATTAGTTCAAAAATGGGCTAAAAAGATGAGGAAAGAAAAGTGAATTATTAAAGAAGATTTAAATTAAATATTATACTAAATTACACTAATCTAAATTACAGTACTATCTTCCATATTATAGATATTATTGAATATAATGGTAAAAATAATTTATAATTTTGTATTTCCTTATCTCTTAATGAATATAATAAATTATGAGTTTATTCTTTTCTTTTTCATCCAACTCACAAAAAAATAAATAAATTCTCCTTCTCTAGGATAACTCATTTATTTATTTTTTCTTAATTGGTACTTACACATACTTGTCTTTTCTCAGACTTAAACCGCTGACCTCCTTTTGAAAAGTAAGAGACTGATACTGTTAGGCCACTAACCCGTTGGTTATCTCAAACATTCCTTCTTTCCACCCTTCCATCCAAATTTTTTATTTCCTACCAAACGGAGCATTAAGGCACTTTTAGAAGGAAATTAAAAATTATGTAATACTTACTCTCGCCGTGGAGCTAGCTATGAGATTATATATATTTATTTCTGATCGTTTTGTCTCTCTTGCAGTCTTGCTAGCTATTTTCTTCTTTTTCTAAAAGTTCTTACATTAAATATCAAGCATTACAATTTTTTTCTTTTTTATTTTATTTATAAAAAGGTCATTAGACAACTTACTCAATAATATTAATTATATATATATATATATATATAGAAAAAATAGTTTTGAGCATCAGTTTTAATTTATTGTTGGTCATTTATTTTCATACAATAAAATAGAAGTGGAAGGAAGAGTGATGGAGAGAGTTATCTCAAAAAAAAAAAAAAAAAAAAAAAAAAAAAAAACGCGACCAAGAGAGGTAAGAGAGAAAAAAAAAGGGAGAAGAGATGAGAAAAGGAGAAAAAAAAAACAGAAAAAAGAAAAAAGAAAAAAGTTTGGGGGGAGGGGAGAGAGAATACGGAAGAGAGAGAGAAAAAGGGGAGAAGCCAAGAGAAAAGAGAGGAGAGAAAAAAAATAGGAAAGAGAGAATAATGAGGGGAGATAAAAGATGGTTTTGTTACAGGTACTTACTCTTAATTCACTATTGGCTCTTGAATTGTATGAGTATTAACTTTTTATTCATTATTAACTCATTCACTTAAATTTCAGTGTCCAAATAATTTAATTGTAATGGATAAACTTAGGCAATTTAGTGAGTTTGGGTATAAATTATCACCCCTATTGCAATCCATCAACATGGAAGATCTATTGACATAGTATATTTATTCTTTCAATAAAGGCAAATTTTATACCAAATGACCCATCGGTATCACCCCTTTTCCCAAAGGGGAGGTCGAAGGTTCGAATCTTGATAGAGATAAGGTGTGTGCGAAATTGCTTTAACTTCAAAAAAAAAAACAAGAAAAAAGAAGAAGAAGAAGAAGAAGAAGCAAACTGTATAAATGAACTAGTTAGGAAACGGTACAAAGATGGCCAAGAGGCAACAAAATTTATTAAAATCATAGCCAAGCGAAAGAGAATACTGAGGAGAGAAAAGATGATTTTGTTTGAGCGGATTAAGATGGGTATTCACTTTTAACCCACTATTGATTATTGAATTGTATGGTTACTTACTTTTTACCAATTACTAACCTACTCAATTAAATTTGGGTGTCTAAATAATTTAATTTTAATAGATACAAGATTGAATAGTTTAATCAGCTTCGACATAAATTGTCACCCATATATGCAATCCATCAACAGAGAAGATCTATTGATACAATATACTTATTCTTTCGGTAAAGGTAAATTGTACAAATGAGCTGGTTACGAAACGGTACAAAGATGGCCAAGAGCCAACAAATTTATTAAAACCACAGCGCCCAATGGCGAAAGAGAGGAGAGAGAATATTGATGAGAATTTTGCTTCAACGGGTTAAGATAAGCATTAACTCTTAATTTACAATTGATCCTTAAATTATATAAGTACTCACCTTTTACCCATTATTAATCCATTAACTTAAATTTGGGTGTCAGATTTAATTTTAAGAAATAAGTTTAGACAATTTAATGAATTTGGGTATAAATTGTGAAGATTTATTGACGCAGTATATATGTTCTTTCAAAGGTAAATTGTATAAATGTACTAGTTAGGAAACCGTACAAAGATGGCCAAGAGCCAACAAATTTATTAAAACCACAGCACGCAGTGGCCAAAGCTACACAAAAAAAAAAAAAAAAAAAAAAATGACAGCCAACTAGCCAAGTAGGCCAAAAAAAATAAAGCCTAAATACAGCCAGAAAATATCAGTAGCAAGAAAGAGAAATTAAAATGCAAAGCCAGCCGGATTAATAGTTGCAAGAGCTTGGAAGGAACAATAATGCAACAAGCAGGGGCGGAGCCATGATTATCTTTTAGGGAGGCGTAGTGTAATTAATAGGAGGAAAAAACAAAAATGACTAACACAACAAAAATACACTGTTCACATAAAAAATAAAAAATAAAACACAGATCAATCTTCTCGCTCAACAAAAATATCAAAACCATATATAATTCTTAGAGTGTATCAAAGAGGACAAAGAGTGAGGAGTTTCAGACAATTTTAGACGCAGATCCGTCAACTTCTCCCAAGCTCTGCCTTGCTTTCCCATGCTCTGCCTCGCCTGAAGGCTTGTACCACCAGAGGAGATGCACTTGGTTTTTGAGCAGGGAAAATTTGTTATAGGCTATGACTAATTTTGAGATAATGGGTTTGTTCAACGTTTGATTCCCTTATTATATGCTTTGATTCCCTTGCTTTTACTTTCTTAATGTCCAATGGTCAGTCAGTAGTTTGGTTATACAACTTATACTTTTTGTGAGTCCACGTTTTGGACTTAGTAAAAATACAAAACCCTTGCATGGTTAACAACTCGAAAACTGTTTTGAAGAATAATTTTCAGAGAATCAAAACACAAAATAGTTTTTAGTTTTTTCAACTTGAAAATATGTTTGGTTGAAAAAATTACAAAAACAATTTTCAGAAAACAAAAACCCATAAATCTAGGATGCGTTTTCTGTATTTTAGTCACAAGAAAGCAGAAACATAATTTTATTTTTCTGAGTGAAAATAAAAAGTAGAAATGATGTTTATTAACATTTGTTGTTATCACAATTTTGAAAACTGAAAATAATAACAGTGTTTAATAATACATATTTGTCAACATGATAAGTTGCCAACAATATTTTTAAATTATTTTATTTTATTTTAAATATTTTTATTAGTACCAAAAAGTCTTAAAATATATTTGCAATTCAAATATTAAAAATATTCAATATATGATAATAAAATACAATATCTAATTTAAAATAATAAATTTTAATAATACACAATACATAAGACAAAATAAGATATATTAGGACATAAACTCTCTCGCCAATTATGTATATAAATGCATCATCCATGCATTTATTATATAATATAAAATATATTTAACATATAGTATATTATAATAAATAAAAAATATTAAATTATATATCTAATAATTTAGTATTTACATATAATATAATAAAGATATGGTATATAATAATATAGAATATATATTGCATAATTATTTAATAAGAGTATATAAATTAAATAATAAATATACAATCAATTATAAATATTTTTGGCCCAAAAAAATAATTTACACTATTATATAATATATTATATTAAAATATGTTTTTACTAAATAAAAATAACTGACACTAATATTATATATTAAAAATTACTTTTTTTTAGCATGTAATATGGAGCATTAGTATATAACATGATTTTATTTGAAATGAACATTGCATGTGTAATAATAATAGTAAAAACGCTTTTGCTCTACAGTGTCGAAAACAAAAGAAATATTTTTTTTATGTTTCCACCTTTCTTTACAAAACTGAAAAACGTTTTCTGTTATAAAAAAATAAAAACATATTACTAAATATGATTTTTGTTTTTGTTTTGCCTTTTTAAAGGTTTACACTAGAAAACATGAAACATTTATCGTTACTAAACGCACCCCTACTCGGTTGTCTGTAGTAAAGAGTATTGCATATCACTCTTTTATTTATCTTGCATCGAATAGTTACATGAATTGCTAAACCTACTATTTTAATTAGTCCATTTTGCAATAAATAAAGAAGTGGAGCCCTCCACTTAGTCGTATTTGGTATAAATAATTAAAAATTAGGTTAACCCCACCTACACCCTCTGAACTTTGCTAATATTCCATACACACCCCCTCTACATTTCATAATTCCACCTACACTCCCTGGCAGTAACCGATGTCTAGTTTACTAACAGAAATGTGTGATTTTACTATTTTACCTTTGAAATATTAAAATTTATAACTTAAAGGAAAAGACTTTAACACCCTTTGTTTTACACCCTCTATTTCTCTCTCTCTACTCACCGACACACATACACACACTATATATATATATATATATATATATATATATATATATATATATATATATTTCCTTTCTTTTTCATTATTGCCGCCCGATCTCCCTGTTTCTCCACCTTGACCTACCACCACCACGACCGATCTCGCCGTTTCTCCATCTCAGCCTACCACCACCACGGCCGACCACTAACCACCAACAACCACGTACATATATGCAGACACATATACACACAAACACACATATACATTACACACAGGTCTGACCATCGAGCTTTAATCCAGTCCGGCGAGCAGTACATGTGAGCCTTAGTTCAAGCGTGCTTTGGTTAAGGTGGCAAAACAGCTTTGGCAAAACACCTTTTGGATTATTTGTAAATCATTGCATTCATAATTTTCTTCTCTAATTCTGAATT